TCCCTTTATCCCCCTACTAACCCACCCACCCTCCAGACCAAACTAACAAGCACCCTCCACCTCCTCATCCCGCGCCTCCGCCTCCTCCAGAAAAAAGACACCGCCAGCAGCGTCATCCAGCGTCGCGATTTGTCGGGGCTGCTCGCCGAGGGCCGCGACTCGAGCGCCCGCATCCGCGTCGAGAATGTGATCGCCACCGACATCGCCGTCGAGGTCATGGAGATGGTGGAACTGTACTGCGAGCTGCTTCTGGCTCGAGCGAACGTGCTCGATCAGGCTGCGTTCGGGGAGCGGGGCGCGCTGGCCCGGAATCGCGCGAGGGTGGCTGCTGCTTCCGCTGGTGGTGGTGCGAAGCATTCTCCCCCGAGCTCTGGGGATCCTGGCGCGGGCGCGGGCGCGGGCAGTAGTCATGCGGGAGGGGGAGGGGGGGGAGGGGGGCGGTTCGCGTTCTTCGGCCTCGGGGCCAAACACCCCCCCAAACCCACCCCCGCCAGCACCAGCACCAGCACCAGCACCAGCACCAGCACCACCGCAACCGCGGAGCATACACTCGACGAGGGCACCCCAGCAGGCCAAGGCCAAGGCCAAGGGCAAGACGAATACCTCGACGCCGCGCTCGACGAAGCCGCGGCCGTGATCTTCTACGCAACCCCGCGCTTCCCGCACGACGTGCGCGAGCTCACCATCCTCCGCACGCTGCTGGCCGAGCGCTGGGGCAAGGAGTTCATGGCGCTGGCGCAGGAGGACGCCGTGCCGGGCGTGCGCGTGCCGGGGCGCGTGGCCAAGGCGCTGCGCGTGCGCGCGCCGTCGGCCGAGTTGGTGGACTGTTACCTCCGGGAGATCGCGCGGGCGTATGGGGTGCATTGGGGGCCGCGGGATCAGGGGGTGGAGGGGGTGGCGCCCACGGTGGCGGGGTGGGATGAGGTTTCGGGCGGCGATTCTAACGGTGATGGTTCCGCGGGCGATGGTGCCGGGGGCGATGGTGCCGGGGACCGCCCGTCGACGCCGCGACGCTCCCCAACCGAAACCGAAGCGCGGCGGGCGTCCGAAACGCTCGCGCTCAACCAGGCGACGCCGCCGCGCGGGTGGCAGACCCAAACAAGTCCCGTGAGTGTGAGTGTGGCGCCCCCCGGTCCGCGGTGGGATAATCCGCATCCGCGCGTCAAGGTGCCCGGGGAGTCGGTTTCAGCGGGGTCCGCGACGGCGGCGACAGGCAAAACGAAGAGTGAGATCCCGGAGTTGGATGAGTTGACGAGGCGGTTTGCGGCGTTGCGGCGGTAGCGCAGCTTACAAATGTGGTGGTGGTGGTGGTTACGCTTCGTGTGCATACGTCTTACGCTTCTATTATACCTCCGGTTTGGAATGGATCAAATCGATTATATTCATCATCTATCCTTCTCGCCCTCTTTTCCGGCATCCACGCAAACGTAACAGGTATCCGTAGCGAAACGCTCATAACAAAACCAAACAAATGCAGACAGGCGACCGATCCCCCAAAAGGCCAACCGGAACACGAACACGTCAATTATATACAGGGAAAGATCGACAACCGAAGAAATGCAAGACAAGACAGGGAGACGCAGCGAGCTACTCCTCCGCCTCGCCCGGAAGAAGAATCTCGTGCCCCGACCCCTCATACACGAAGATCGCCGCCACGCAGCCGAACACCGACACCAGCGCCACCAGCCACCAGGCGAAGCCCACCATGCCCATCTCCAGCCCGTACCCGTACCACGACCCCGAAAAGATCGGCCCGATGGTCCGGAAGGCGGAGGACACGGACTGGCCGATCCCGTGGATCGTGCCTAGCACGGACGGGTGCGGCGAGCAGTTGTTCAACAGGATGATCGAGGTCGGCAGCGTGAACGTCCGCGCCGTCACCTGCAGGAACAGCACCACGATGATCGAGAACCACACCCAGCCGCCGTTGGCCTGGCCCGGCGGCGGCACCGTGGACGGCGCCAGCGCGATGTACGGCGCGAACGCGTACGCCAGGGGGAACAGCGTCAGGAAGTACTGGTAGCTCTTGGCCGTGCCCAGACGGCCGTTGATGCTGGGGTAGATGGTGAACTGCAGGAGCATGCCGATGATACCCAAAATGGCCGTCGCGAAGCCCACGCTCTGCGGCAGCATCCCCAGGCCGCCGGTGAAGATGAAGGGCAGCTTCTGCAGGGGGCTCGTGGGGTCGTTGGCGTCGTAGCGCGGGGTCGAAAGGAACAACAGCCACAGGTTGTTGAAGGCACTGGGTCCGGGTCAGTTCGATGTCGGAGGCAACAGAACCACAAACACATACCCCATTTGGAAGTCGAAGAAGGCCTGCGCCAGCAGCGTGCACAGCACGTTCTTGGTCCAGATCCGCCGGAAGGGCAAGCTGCGGCTTTGACGAGTGTGTTTGGTGGCCTTCTCCTCCATCTCGTAGCTCTCGGCCGTGTCCCGGCGACCCAGTAGAGGGCCTGCCTCTTCGTAGTCGGCGAACGGCAGCCGGTGGTACAGTGGGGAAGACGAGGGCACCACGGCGCGAACACCGCGCGCGAAAATGCGCATCGAAAAGACACCAAGACCGGGTTTGCCTTTACAAGCTTCCAAAGTCTGCAACAATTAGCGATGATCCATGCCGCCAGAAACCAGCCACATACCTCTTCCAGACCGATGGCGACACACGCCGCCGCGAACGACAAGAAAATGGCGTTCGCCAGCATGGGCAAAGCGTAGGGATAGCGGATCAGCCACTGCACACCGTTGGCGCCGCCGAACGACGAGTCGGGCCCGAACAACCGGGGATAAGCCTTGACCGGATCGGCCAGCATGCCACCCATCACTATCACACAACCGTCAGTCAACCCCCCAAACAACCCCAAGCAGGATGGCGGTCACTCACCGGGCCCAAACAAGGCGGCCACATTAAACCCGATCGGCAAGATCAAGAACGCGCGCGAGTGGTACTTCTTCTCCTTGACATTTTCGGCGATCATGGTCCGGATGATCCCGACGGTGCCGTTGATGGCGCCGCCGAAGGAGCGCCAGAACACGGCCTGCGCGAACGAGGTCGCGAAGGCGACCCCGAAGCAGGACAGGGCGGTGCCCAGCAAGCCCACCAGCAGCACGAACTTCCGGCCGCCCCACTCCGCGTCGGCCACCCGACCCCAGGGGATGGCGGTCGCAAACTGCGCAGCGGTGAACGCGCCCTGCAGGATTCCGGCCTGGGTGGACACATCGGCGTCGGACAGGTTCTCGTCGAAGGACTTCAGCTGGTAGAACATGTAGGCCTGCAGGGAGGCAATCTGCAGAAAGTCGAACACCCGGCAGAGCCCCAGCAGAGCGAGCTGGCCCTTCTTCGGCAGGGACATCCAGGTCACCGGGGCGGGGCGCGAGCCCGGCGCCGCGGCGGGCGTATCGGCCAATTCTTGAGGTCGCAACAGGGCGGACTGCGACTGACTGTGGGAGCGACTGCGGGCATGGCCCCAGTCGAGTGAGGTGTTCCTCGAGGCCATGTTGTGGGAGTCGTGGTCGTGGTCGTAGTCCTCGTAGCGGCCGGAGGAGCCTTCGGAGACGTCGGCTAGAGAGAGGTTGGATTCACGACGACGGCGTTGTTGGTGTTGGTGGAGCGGGAAGTTCGCAGAGGTCGCGGATGAGGGATCGCCGCCTTGGTCGTGACCGGAAGTCCACGAGGTAGCTCTGGTATGACGGGCAGCATGCCGGTTTTTGGTGGATTGGGCGAAAGAGGCGGAAGTCGCAGAGAGGGGATTGGGGGTTGTTGGTGGGAGCGGCGAAGCGATGGCGGAGGATGATGTGGAAGTGGCAGTGGCCGTAGCCGTAGCCGTAAGAGGCGGCGCGGCGTTAAGCGTCAAGGATGGTCGCCGGCCGGTTCCTGTTCCTTGGGATGCGGTTCGTGGGACGGGCATCGGCACGAGTTGTGATAGGAGGATAGATGGCAGGAATCTAGAGGAATGGGAACAAAAAGACGCAAGGAGGGGCCAAAATGGAAAACTGGGTCAGATCGGTCTTAGTGAGTGAGTGGACTATAAGTCAGTCGGAGATCCGGACGGTAACTGCTGGCTGCAACTGCAGCAGATGATGAGGAATCAACGCAGAGAAAAGATTGACGATGCTGATGATGCTGATGATGCAGCAGATGCAAAGAGAAAGAAAAAGTCAGATACTAAAGAGCGGAAGAGCGAGAGACAGAGAAAGAATAGAAACAGAAACTAAAGCCACGATCATCGAACTCGAAACAGATCCCCCATCGCCTTCAATTGCTTGATTCGGGGGGCGTGAGTGGAAATGAAATGAACTGTGAAATGAACTGGGAGTGAAATGAAGCGATGTGACAGAGACAGTCAATTCCGGGAAAGGGATAGAAACAGCAAAATGGCAATACGCAATACCGCGGCGCGTAATTTACACGACACCCGACGGGAGATAAAAAAAAAAAAAAAAAAAAGGCTTGCGACGCTTTTCTCCACCGGCAGGGCTTGGCACCCGAGCATTTGGTCTCCCCACTTGTCAGTCGTCACCAATGTTGACTTATGCATTATATGAGTATGCACTATGCATACGATGTATAAACCACTGATTATAATCATTAAGAGTACGAGGAATCCCCTCTCTATTTTTTTCTCATCTTCTAGAGTCTCTTACTCCACCGCAAGAACAACTACACCAAACAACAACAACCCCTACCACCACGGACACCGCAAGTACGGATAACACTCCGCCGACCCATCGACGGGCACGGGCAGCGGCGCATGGCCCCAGTACGGCATCACGGTATTCTCATACCAGTCGTGCAGCAGCCAGAGGTCGTCCGACAGGCGGTGCTCAGCGCGGCCCTCGATCTGCACGGCGAGGATGCCGGGCCCCGTGACGCGCTCCGCGCCGACGCACTCCTTGTAGTGGCGCACGACGCCCGCGCACTGGATGCGCGCGAACACGGCCTCCGCGGTGGGCTTGCTGAGGCGCTCGCCCTCGATCTCCAGCTGCAGCTGCTCCACGTAGAAGGGCCAGTCGTGTCGGTCCATCAGCTCCTGCGCCACCTCCACCACCACGAAGACCTGCTCGCGCTCCGGGTCGCAGTGCCCGTGGCGGCTGAGGTAGTGCTTGGTGAACCGGCCGTAGACGCCGTCGTCGCGGCGGACGGCGCGGTCGGGGAACATGGGACACATTTTGGGTCGGGGGGGGGGGGGGTTTACTACCTACGATGGTACTACTGATGAGGTGAGTTGCTACGGTAGAGGTAGATGGGGGGGGGGGCGGGGGGGCATGGGATGGGATGGAAGTAGGAGGTGTAGGGGCCGTGTAAGCTGTAGTCGTATTTATAGAGTGACAGAGCCCAAGTAACAATGCCGGTCTTCATCGACTAAGTTCAGTCTGCCTCAAAGCATTGATGCCAATCTGCTGGAGCATCGCGACAAGAACAATGCTGTCAACAAAGCGGGTAGCGATATCTCTCTAACTTGGTAGGGGATCTCCACTAACAGTCGGTAATGATCCATTCCAGGATGAAGACCAATCTCACCTGCGATTGTGCCAGCTCAATTGTCGAGGATCTACGTACTATGTAGGATGAATGCTGTGCGGTCTGTATCCCAGCTGTTTGCCCAATCAACATCCGAGAGATGGCAACCACTCAGCGTCCAGCCTCTTACGCAAGTCCATACGTATGCCTGCATGGGTAAACCTGCTTCCGTTTCCTATCAAACAATCTGTCTTATGCACGAGGCAAGAACTATTCCGGGGGTTGGGGCGATGACGACCGGATTGTGGCTCAGACCTCGGAGTAAGGTATTGTCATCACCTCTTAAGTCCGAGCCATGCTACCCGGCATAAACAGCACAATCCGAATACCATTGACTCGTCATTGCTGAGACTTGCATTTTGGTCCTACCAGATGATCATGGGTCATATACGAATGATTCTAATATTTACTCTAAGGGATGGAAGCAAAAGCGGTTACCGTTCTATATGACCTCCCTGCTGCCATGCTGAGCCCTGACCCTCGGTCAGGGGCGTATACCGCGGCAGCTGTCTCCCCACGAATCGACGCCAATGCCACCAGGGAAGCTCGTCCGCTTCTGCTGAGTGCGGCGCCCGTTCCATCTGATCTAGATGCTCCGTGGAGGCTCGCTCCTTGACCCGGCTGAGATCCTGCTGCCGTCGCCGATAGACCCGGAGGATCGTGTAGATAGCCGCCACCGTGACCACAAACCCAAAGACCGGGGCAACCCACCCTACATTGTCTAGACTCGTATCAGCATCACTTTCGACCATGTCGCAAAAGTAGAAGGTTAAACTTACTGTAGGCCTTGTCTGCACTGTGCGCCTCCGCTTCAGTTCCCTCTCCCTCAGACTGCCCCGTCTGTCCCCAATCGTACAAAGTGTCCGGGTGACCGGGCTCAACCCACGGCACTGTGATAATCCCAGCCGGCGGAATCGCAGGCCCAGCGCCCTCCTCATTCGGCATACCATACGACTGGGCATTCTCGCACGCATCCGTCGCACAGAAGTTCTGCAACTCCGCCGACGGGACAAACGTGAACAGGCTCCGAGACTTGCCCAGCACTTGGCCCTCCACATCGACAGCTTCGGCATAGGTCCACTGGTAGAACTCACCCGCTGTATAGCTCGTCTCGAATCCGTTCTTCGCGACTTGCTTGATCAACGTGAACGGGCCGGTGGCGTTCTGCGCGCCGTAAAAGCGCCAGTACTTCACGCGGGTCGCCCCGTTCCAGCTGACATAGAAGGTCGTCGGGGCGTAGGTCTCGCTCGACTTCGCATAGGTCCACATGGCCGGCACGTCGGTGGGATTGCCCTCCCACTGGAACTTTTGCGCCCGGTAGTTCATGATCCGGTCCTTGTCGATGTATCCCCACAGAAGAAGATTCCCTTGCTCGTCATGCTCGGAGATGTAGGCGTTGTTGCCCCACCCGATGAACGCGTTCCCGTTCGGCAGAACCTGCAGGTTTCCTTGGCTGGAGCTGATCATGGTTTTGCCCGGCGGTGCATATTCCAGTAGCTGGGTCGCGGTGTTGTCGCGGTGGTCGATCAGGATAATCATTCCCGAGGAGTAGTCGTGCGTCCGATTGAAGCCATTGAAGCCGTTGTTATAAAGCGACAGCAGCGTGTGGGTGGCATTCTCGCTCAGAAACCGGGCATCGTGTTGCTGCGAGAAGCTGAAGTTGATGTTCTTGAAGGAGGGGTTGGCGCCGTGCAACTGCCAGATGACCGAGCCGTCTTGCCCGGAGATCTTGTAGATCGCGCACGTGTGGCGCGAGGAAATCAGATAGTCACCCTCACTGTTCTTATCGATGGAGTTGATATGGAAGTAGTCCCAGGGCGAGCGCGGGTCCAGCCCGGTGCCCGAGGTGTCCGTGTGACTAGGCCAGGTGTAGGCGGCTGAGGGATCAACATGGTCAAGCGATTTCCACTCGAATAGCACCTCGTTGGTCTCGACGTCGACTTCCTGGAACACACTCTCCATCAACCATCCCATGCCCGTCTTCACATTCCACAAACTCATATCGAACTGTCGCTGCTGGTAGACGGTCAACAAAGCCGTCTTGCCGTCGTTGATGGGCTTGAACTCGTGCATATCGCTGGACGCCATGCCTCCTCCGGGGACGACAGTGCGAACGATGCGATAATTGCTGTCCATGATCACGCCATGACCGCGACAGTAACCGTTCTGCTGAACGCCCTGGAAGAAGCAGAGATGGTCTTTGCCCTGATACTGGCAAACATGCATGCCGTGGGCGTTTCCAGGGCCGGAATTACCCCATCCGCTCCATACTAGATTCTATAAACAATCAGCAGATGCGGCTGGCTGTCTTTCACAACGAACACATACCCCTTCGTCGTCATAAATATACGGCCCAGAGTTGGCTGCCTCATAAGGACCCACGAAGATATAGCCCGGGCTGAGCTTGTCGGGGTTGCGATGTTCCAAGGTGAGCACAGGCGGGTAGAGGTCGGGTCTCTGCGAGGGTCGTTGACACAAGGTTAGTGATCCGCATGGCGAACATCTTGGCTTTATGGCGTGCACGCTGCTGCTACTGCTAATTGCGAACAGCCACCGACAAGTGGGCTTACCGATTTGAAGACCGAGTCCACCTCCGCAAAGACCGATGGTAAAAATGTACATAGTATGGCCAGAGAAAATAGTAAAAAGGACGGAGCGAAACCGCTCGGGTTGCGTATAGAGCCGATCATCGATCCTTCAGCGGTGCGTCCGTCGCACCCAGAATGTGTAGGAAACAAGGACTGCGATGACAAAGACAAAGACGAAGCCGAGAAAAAAACAGAATATCAGTGATCACCCGAAGCAGTATGCAGTCTCAACTTCCAGAGAGCGACCGAACGCAAGCCAGTTCAACCTCGACGAACAAACACCAGAACAGCCAACAAAAAAACCCGCAGCAGACGGGAAGAGAGAAAGGATTAGTAAAAACCATGTTCCTAACTTGATAAGAAGTGACGGCGGATACGCTGGGAGGCAAGCCTGTGACTGTCCGAAACTCCCACGCACGAACATGCAAAGCTCCAGAGGGCCAGGCCAATGCGAGGCCGCGAATACTGGGACAGATGCTTGAGCGCATCGACTTCTTGGGCCGGCGACGTAAGTGGAGGCTGCCAAGCATCGCCAACGTACCTAATCACTGCCGAGACAGGATCCACTACTGCTTGGTCGTACGTATGTCGTTCATGTAAATTGCGTTCTTGCAGCTGGCTGGCATCGACGATATGATCCATAAGATTGAATGCGGCCTCGTTGTTCAGTAACCGATCATCTCCGCAGAGCCATTTTTAGGGGTGATAGTCAAGCATCCACGATGAAGATCTCCTTTCCTGGATCAAAGAAGCGGAAAAGCTCGTGGAGGAGGTCTGTCGAGACGATCTCAGGAGAAGTAGTACTGCAAATCGGCTGATTGTCCTGCGCGGTTCGACCTAAGAATAGTCCAGTCCTTCATCTGTTGTTGTTGTTGTTGTTGTCGTCGTCACCCCTCCCCGCGTTTCAGCGCTTAGAATCAAGTCACAACTTCTAGACTGGACTTTATGCGGCCATCGAAAACCAAGCCATCACCACTGAGACCTGGACGCACTCATCCAGAACAGCTCTTCACCGACAGACCACAATACCCAACAACGATACATCCGAACATGGCAAGGTTTGTGATACCTCCGACATAGATAGGAGGATTGATAACGAACAACCCGAACTTACCGGACCTTCATCCGAATAACTTAATCGTACTGTACAGTACCTCACCAGAAAATCCTTACCGAAACAATACCAGTTTCCGCCTACCCCCGGGGTAAGTTTTATCCCACCCCCAACCCAGTCCGGGCTCCCCTTTCCCCCCTTGTGTATCCATAAATTCTGTAACACCACTCAAACCTACCTCCAAACCCTCAACCCTCTTTCTTGCCTCTCTCAGGGATCAAACAGATGAACCACGTCGTCAGCATACGCACGGCTTTCCCAACTCCCGCTCAGTCATCATCCCCCTAAGCATCCACGCGCCCGCCAAGCCTCGACCCGAACAGCCGGTCGGTCGCAAGGGGAAGGGAAGCGCCCGCCCGCCGCGTCACGCCCGCCACGGGACGGTGCTTAGTCTATGAAGAGCTTTGGGACAGAAGATTTTGGGTTGGCGAGCGACGGCACAAGGGTGGATACCCGCAATGCTGTGCCAGATGAATGAATGAATCCACTCACTTCCCTCCCCTTACTGCGCTCTAGGCCTTGGGGTTTAGGTAGTGTAGTACGTAGAGGACATCAAGGAACGGATTTGTTGTAGTGTTTCGTCGATGTTTCCGATTTCTTGTGTCTGTCGCACGCTGGGACGCTGGCGTTACATAGGTCTGTAGCTACCTACCTACCTGGTGGTGTTCTTGTTGTTCCTGAATGAGGGACGGTTGGGTGGTATGGATAAGGTAGCAAGCAGCTCTTCGGGCTGTGGATGGTACTGCACGGGAATTAGACCATGGACATCTCGCTACTGATGTGCGTGCCATCATGTGTATCTGCGAGCTTCGCGCGCGAAGGGAAAGGTACAGTACGGTGGTTGCTGACCTGCTCATACTAGGAAGCAGCTGTCCCACCTAACTTAGTGATGGTGTAGCGACGGAGTACTGTACAGCAGATGTCAGCATGCTTCGGGTCGCTTGGCACTTTGTTTTGATCAAGCTGTAGAGCTTTCCACAAGTGTCACAAGTGCCACAAGTGCCACAAGTGCAAGGCGTCGTTGGCTGGTTGCCAAGGCCAGGAAGGATGCACCCTGTAGGGCTCGCCGCGACAACCGGGGAGGGCTGGCCCGCTGCATGCATGCCGAGACCATTTGTCCTACCCTCAACAAATGAACGGTAAACTGTACCAACTATATATCTACAGGGCCAAGACAGCGAAAGGGGAAAACATGCGATATGCATAGAATATTGAGTTCATTCCATTCCGATTGGCGCCAGGTAATATCAGCGATGACTGATAAGGTGCAGTACTACTGCCTTCATAATTGAGCGAAAACCGAAAGTGCCATCCGCCCAATGCTTTTCCCTTGAAAATATCCGTCTAATCAATCCGTACATAAAAGCCCCCACCATTGCCCAACACAAACCAAAAGAAATTCTCAGTGATAGAATCACGCATTATAACAATAATCAAACCCTGGATATGAGGGTCGGTACGCTCATCGGTATATGATAATCAAAACACACAGAACAAAAACCTGCGGCGATCGGCGGCCAGCGCACGCGACAGGCGGAAGACGCAAAGAAACAAAATCACCTCTACCGAGAGAAGCGCTTGAAGGCCATGGTAGCAGCCAAGCCGGTGGCCAGGATAGCTCCACCCATAGTGAATGCCTGGAGGGCGGCGTTCAGCATCTGGCGCCTGTTGCGGGAGCGGCAGCGCTTGAAGAAGTCGGCCATGTCGTTGCCGCGGGGGAAGGGGGTGTCAGGCACCTCCTCGCCCAGGAATTCGCAGAGCGGGCCCCAGCCCTCGCCAATCTGGTACTCGAGCAGTCTCTCCGGGGGCACCAGGCTGCGGACCTCCTCCACGTGGTCGAGGTACACCTGCTTGCCCTGGTTGGGGAAGTCTCCCCGGAAGAAGGTCTGGAAGAACTTGTTGAGCATGGGGTAGTACATGCTGGCGGCCCAGCTGAAGTTCGAGACGAATCGGTGCTCGGGGTCCGACACACGCCACCAAACGGTCTTCATCACGGAACTGTAGCATCACAGATTAGCGGGGTGCAAGGTTTGAAAGGAGGGCGGAATGGAACGTACGCGTGCCAAGACTCGACCTCACGGGTGGTCAGAATGACCTTGGCGTTAGGGTAAGCCTCAATCAGCTCCTTAGCAAAGGCGCAGGCAGGCCAGTCGCAGACGGCCTGGCAGTCACCCAGAAGCTGATCCCACTCCTTTCTACCGAACTCGCCCACGCCGTCGTACTTGGCCGTCAGAGCATCGTGCCACATCAAGCAGTCTGGCGGGTTCTCCATGCTGGCGGACATCATGTGGTAGGTCTTCATGTAGCCAAGGCGCTCAAGGGCCTTGCGGAGGGCTGTTGGGAGGTCCATGGTTAGTGGCGCCGGTCATTGACCGTGTGGCTTGTGGAATGACACGTACAAGCTGTTCCCGTTCTACCCACACCCAGAGCAAGCACCTTCATCGGCACCGTCCGGTGGCACTGTCGTCTATCGATGCAGGTATCCTCGGTGAAGATGTCGGTCCATGGCTGAGGAGCCAGGTTGTCGGAGTGAATCAAAGACATGGTTGAGTATGATAAATCTGATTATAATGTGTTTATAGAAGAGTGGAAGTCTGGAGCACGATAAGCCACGGGCAGATAAATGAAGGGCGGCGATGGTAGTGCTTGTAACGAGTCTTTGGTATGAACAAGACCGGAGTGAAACAAGGAAAGAGACGTCCAGCGAGACAGGTCAGACCGGACAAATAAAGATAAGATCACACGAGTTGGAGTTGAGAAGGGAGAGAAGAAAGTCGTCGTTGAACCGGCGATGGCAGGACATTAAAAAGGAGAGTGCGGGTAGATCAACGCGCATCCAGACCCAACCCTCAACTTGCAATGGACTCGTCGTATGTCGTGGAGGATAAGAAGCAGAAAGCTTACTAGTGCCGATGCGGCAATCAATTACTCCCAGATCCACTCGAAAGAAGTCAGAAAGAGGAAATTCACTGCTTCTCGAATAGATGACGAGCACATTGTGAGTGGTGGATGGCACTCTGTCTTCTCCATTTTTAGATTGATTTCGTAACAGAAAAAATGACACTTCTTTTTTCCTCTTTCAGGTTTGTAAGGGCAACGTAAGAAAAGAAAAAGGAAAAAGTAAAAAAAAAAAAAGGTACTCCGTACGCGTGGGAACCATTGTTCCATTGCAAGCCATCAGTCGAGCTATTTACTCCGTACACGAGGTAACTGGTGTATTTGCAATACAGCTATCTGTTACACGGAGTACACCCTAGTCAAGCCATGACGGCTAAGACCTTGAATGGAATTCTATTGTTCTTTCCATTATTGTTCTTTCCCCCCCGCCCCCCACTCACGTTCTGGATCGTCTCTGCCTCTTCAACAACAGCTTCTCCCCAAAAGAAGGGGGAGGAAAGAGCACAACAACCCACGGAAAATATATTGTCTGCAATTGTAGCATAATTATAGACATGCCTAGGAAAGCATGCGACAGACAACCAGAATAACAAAAACATACACATGAAACAGATCCAAAAAAGCAACGGCTGAGACAAGCAGGCACAGATCACGCACGCATAGCCAGACGTCACCGGCTGACGTTCTCCCGCCCTTTCCCCTCGTCCTCCTCCTTCCTCCCTCGATACAAAGCAAAGATAGTCAGGGGCGGGCGGTTTGAGCTGCTCGCCTACTCGGCCAGCCATGGTCCGCAGTTTTCCGTCGCCAAGAGCTCAACGACCTCTGTACCACTCAGAAGCGAGGGCAGGGGGAGGAATATCCAAGGAAGTATAGCCGCGAGTGCCAAATCTCCTGGTGACCCAGCGCGGACGAGTGGGGCACCTGTGGTTCCAGTAATGCAACTGTGAGTCTGTGACAGAAATTTGAAAACCATGGACCAAGAAACTGGAGAAGTGCCAAGCCTCGCTGCCGCGAACCTAGTCGATCGGCCGCGTAGCCCCTCGTTTCGCTGATCGCTGGAACAGTCCTCCCAGTCTCATGCTTCACTTGA